GAGCGGGCAGTGGGGAGGCCGGCTATAACTGTAACTGTGACGGGACAGGCTGTGGACACTCTAAGGGAGGAGGAGGACCAGTAGAAGGCGGGAGACCAAGATCCTGCTGAAGGAGTGGAACGAAGTACGGCCGAGGCCGCGCGGTGACTCCAGACACGGCAGGGACAGCACCAGTACCCCCAGCGGCAGCACCAGCGCCAGCAGCACCTCCAGCTCCAGTACCTCCAGCAGCACCAGTAGCACCCCCAGCAGGACCGCCTCCAGGACCGACAGCAGTAGCCTCAGCGCCAACACCCTCAGCAGCTCCAGCTCCAGTCGTACCCGAAGGCCCAGCAGCTCCAGTACTCCCAGTACGAGCACCTCCGGGACCCGCGGCACCAGCACCCTCAGCAGCCGAAGAACCTCCAGCTCCAGCAGCACGCCTCCAGCGCCGGGCAAACCACTCGCGCAGCTCCTGTGGAGAGAGTGGCTCCCGCCGAGACGAAGCACCCGGAGAACCTCCAGGCTCAGCACCGCCAGACGCCACACGAGCAGGCCCAGCTCCCTCAGGCTCCGCACCCCCAGGCTCAGCACCTCCAGGCGTAGCACCCCCAGGCTCAGCACCCCCAGGCTCAGCACCCCCAGGCTCAGCACCCCCAGTAGTAGCACCCCCAGGCTCAGCACCCCCAGGCGTAGCACCCACACGCTCAGCACCCCCAGAGTCAGCACCCCCAGGCTCAGCACCCTCAGCAGCACCAGAGTCACCAGTAACCTCGACAGGCTCGACGGCGTCTACCTGGGACACACCTGAAGGGGCAGGACCCTGAGGGGGGAGGGGGTCTACCGGGGGGGGACCTGGCACAAGGAAGAGCGGTGGGAGCGGAGGTGGCGGAGGTGGCGGCGGTGGAGGAGGCGGCGGCGGAGGAGGTGGAGCTGGTCGGGGTGGCGCTGCGCAGAGGGTCGGCTCCGGTGGTGGTCAGCGCCAGCAGCAGCAGCAGCAGCGGCAGCAGCGCACTCGTGACATCCCCCCCCCTCAGCAGCTCCGTGAGTGGTACGCTGCACGCCAGCGGGGTGGGGGTACTGGTCCGTGCACCTACGTCCTACGCACCGGCGACCGCGCGGGTGAGCAGTGCGGGGGTGCGCACTCCACCCAGCGCTGCTTTGGCCGCCTGACGGACGCTTGGTGTCACCAGTTCCCTGAGGCCACTGAGATCCCCCGCTGGGGCGAGCTGTCTAGGGCGGGTGTAGCTGTCTTTGACCTTGACTTTGATGCTATTCTTGCTGCCATGTATACTGTGACTATTAGTGATGAGGGTGATTGTTACCGGTGTTTTCCGCCCGACCCGGGCATTGAGACTGCTGCTCTAAGTACTGGTGAGGCTGCTGCTCTAGGTGCTAGCGAGGCTGCTGCTCTAGGTGCTCGTGTGTCCGCTCCCTCAGGTGCTGGTGAGTCTGCTCTCTCAGGTACTGCGTCGGCTTCGGCCTCCCACACCTTCACCCTTGACTCGGGGGCTTCTCGCTCCTTCTTTCGAGACCGCACCACACTCACGCCGCTTGGCCGGCCAGTTGCAGTCTCTCTGGCAGACCCCTCTGGGGGTCCTGTCCTTGCTCACTTCTCCACTGTACTCCCGTGTCCGGCGGCCCCCTCTGGCACCCTGTCTGGTCTTTACCTCCCCTCGTTCTCTACGAACTTGGTGAGTGGTGCTGACCTACAGGATGCGGGGTTTCACCAGTTCACTCCTGCGAGTCAGCGGGTGACCCACTGCACGGACGCTCGGACAGGCCGACACCTGGCCACGTTTACACGTCGGCCGGGGTCGAGCCTGTACACACTGACCACTGCGTCTCCTCCAGTCACTGCGTCTGGTCAGGTAGCTGCGTCGGGTCAGGTGTTTGCTGCAGCGTCCAGGTCTGGTCCTGAGTCTGCCCCCTGTTCGTGTCGCCTCCTGTCGCACGAGACTCTCCTCTGGCACCACCGCCTTGGTCACCCCTCCCTGCTTCGTCTCCGAGGCATGGCCTCCCGTGTCCTTGTCTCTGGTCTTCCCCGGTCCCTCCCTCCCCTTCCTCCGGGGCCAGGCCCTACCTGCGTCCCTTGTGTCGAGGGGCGGCAGCGGGCTGCCCCTCACTCCTCCCAGTTTCCTCCGACAGAGGCCCCACTGCAGACGCTTCACATGGACGTATGGGGCCCGGCCCGCGTCCGTGGACAGGGTCACGAGCGCTACTTCCTGCTGGTGGTTGACGACTACTCGCGTTACACCACAGTCTTCCCCTTGCGCAGCAAGGGTGATGTCACTGAGGTGTTGATCGACTGGATCCGCGCAGCTCTTCTCCAGCTCAGGCAGAGCTTCGGCTCGGACTTTCCTGTTCTGCGCCTGCACTCTGACAGAGGTGGAGAGTTCTCCTCTGGCCTTTTGCGAGCCTACTGTCGTGCACGAGGCATCCGCCAGACCTTCACGCTTCCGGACTCTCCACAGCAAAATGGGATTGCTGAGCGCCGCATTGGCATGGTCATGGACGTCGCCCGTACGTCCATGATGCATGCGGCTGCCCCCCATTTTCTGTGGCCGTGTGTGACTTGCTGCACCATGTGTGACTTAGTCAAGGTGATGGTGCGCTGTGCTCTGTCCCGGGTGATCCGCAAGCCAAGATAGCTTGTCAGCTCACCCAGGTCTGTGCACGTGTGTCTCTTCTGCAGCTCCGACTTCACGTGGGCGAGTGCCTCAGTGTCAGCAGTAGCAAAGACCAAGTCGTCTACGTACACGAGAACGTAGAACGGCGACAGAGTGGTGTCGGTGCGTAGAAACAGCGACGGGTCAGCAGTAGAAGGAGCAAACCCAAGAGCAGCAAGAGTAGTCCTCAGTGTGTCGTGCCACTCACGGGGTGCCTGGCGGAGACCGTAGACTGGCCGCCGGAGGCTCCACTGGGTACCAGGAGGGAACGACCCAGTGAAGCCAGGTGGGCGGCGCAGCCAGATCTCCTCGTGCAGGCTGCCCTGTAAGAACGCAGTGCTGAAGTCAAGAGAGTGGAGCTCGTAGTCACGCTGAGCGGCGACGTGCAGCAGAACCCGAAGAGTGGTCATCTTCGGGGTCGGGGAGAAGGTCTGGAAGAATTCAACTCCCTCTCGCTGACTGAAGCCTCGTGCAACGTAACGCGCCTTGAAGACAGGCGGAGAACCCGGCGGCCGCTTCACCCTGAAAATCCACATGCCACTGACGATGTTCGCCCCAGGTGGGGGAACCTCGTCGACGTAGGTGTCTGTGGACTTCCAGGAAGCCATCTCTGCGTCCATGGCTGTCTGCCACTGAGAGGAGTAGAGACCCTCCATCGCCTCTGCGTAAGAGCGTGGGGTCGGGATGTCTGGTGCATCCGGGTCTCCCTCAGGGGCAACTAGCATGGACACGAGATGAGGCAAAGCAGCGGCAAAGCACTCAAACTCCTCCTGTCTGTCCTCAAGGACGTCCGTGCCAAGAGCACACTCACCCCCGACGGACGGAGGACAGACAGACTCAGACTCAGACTCAGCAACAAGGCTAGCGGCGTAGTCTAGACGACAGGCGGCAGCAAAGTCAACAAGCTCAGCGACTAGAGCAGACGCAGCAGAGGACTCAAAGGTAGGGTCAGTGACAACAGTAGCGAGGAAACGCGCGACAGTAGGACTGGCAGCACGAGTAAGGTCTGACGGCGGGTCAGCAACGTCAAGAAGAGAGGACGCAGGAGGAGACGGCAGTGGGACACGCTGTGGAGCAGTGGAAGGACGTAGGGTCATGTAGTGAGTGCCAAGGACAGGAGGAGGACGCTGACGCGGAGCACGACGACCAGCGCGGACAGCGCGGACAGGCGACTCTGGACGCGACACAGACGACTCTGGACGGGTCTCAGGCGACGGAGGACGAGACTCAGGCTCACGACGCTCCGTAAGACCTCCCGTCGGCTCAGCGTAAGGAGAAGGACCAGGCAGTGGAGAGGCTGGCTGTAACTGTGACTGCGACTGGACAGGCGGTGGACTCGGTCGGGGAGGAGGAGGACCAGGAGAGGGAGGGAGGTCAAGAACCTGCTGAAGAAGCGGAACGTAGTACGGCCGCGGCCGCTCAGCACCTCCAGCTCCACCCCCCTCAGTAGGCCCAGTCCCAGCAGCTCCAGTACCTCTAGTACTAGCACCTCCAGGACCAGCGGCTCCAGCAGCTCCAGCACCAGCACCTCCAGCAGCTCCAGCAGCACCGCCAGCAGCAGCAGCACCTCCTGCAGCTCCAGCAGCACCAGCACCAGCAGCACCTCCAGCAGCACCAGCAGCACCGCTAGCAGCAGCAACACCTCCAGCAGCTCCAGCAGCACCAGTACCAGCAGCACCTCCAGCAGCACCAGCAGCACCGCTAGCAGCAGCAGCACCTCCAGCAGCTCCAGCAGCGCCAGCAGCACCGCCAGCAGCAGCAGTACCTCCAGCAGCTCCAGCAGCACCAGCACCAGCAGCACCTCCAGCAGCGCCAGCAGCACCACCAGCAGCAGCAGCACCTCCAGCAGCTCCTGCACTACCAGCACCAGCAGCACCTCCAGCAGCGCCAGTAGTACCGCCAGCAGCTCCAGCACCAGGGTCCGCGACACTAGGAGCGCCACTCCGGAGACTGCAGCGCCGAGCGTACCACTCTCGGAGCCGCTGGGGAGAGGGCAGCTCCCGTCTAGGAGGGGAAGCACGAGCACCAGCTCCAGCAGCACTCCTAGCTCCAGAAGCACCCCTCCTGAGGCTGCAGTACTGTAAGTACCACTCACGTAGCTGCTGTGAGGAGAGAGCTCCTCCAGGTGTAGCACGCTCAGTCTCCGCACCCTCAGGCTCAGTACCCTCAGACGTAGCACTCCCAGGCTCAGCACCCCCAGACTCAGCACTCGCAGGCTCCTCACCCCCAGGCTCAGCACCCCCAGACTCCGCACCCCCAGGCTCCGCACCTCCAGGCTCCGCACCCCCAGGCTCCGCACGCTCAGGCTCAGCACCCCTCGCAGGACGAGAGTCGACAGCTACCTCGACAGGCTCAACCGGGTCTACCTGGGACACACCTGAGGGAGCGGCACCCTGAGGGGGGAGGGGGTCTACCACAGCAGCACCTGGCGCGAGGAAGAGAGGCGGGGGGGGGAGCGGGGCAGTGCGGTAGGGGAAGAGGCGGTAGTAGGGCACGGACTCGTCAAAAGTGACGTCCTGAGAGGGCAGGACACGGCGCGAGGTGGCGTGGTAAAACTGCCAACCAGACGCATCCGGGACAAAGCCAAGGAAGACACAAGGAATAGCGCGGGAGGAGAGCTTGTCCGCGGACGTATCGCGAACAAAAGCTCGAGATCCCCAGACCCGAAAACGCGACGCATCGCCAACCTCTCCCGTCCAACGCAGTGTCGGTGAAGTCTCCGGCAAGGAGACACGGGGCCAGAAGTTGAGCTGATGCGCAGCGTATCGGACCGCAAACGGCCACAGAAAGTGGGGGGCAGCCGCATGGATCAAGGAAGTACGAGCGACCTCCATGACCAAGCCAATGCGGCGCTCAGCAACCCCATTCTGCTGTGGAGAGGCCGGAAGCGTGAACGACTGGCGGATGCCATGCTCCGCACAGTAGGCTGCCAAGAGGTCGGAGGAGAACTCACCACCTCTGTCAGAGTGCAGACGCAGGACAGGAAAGTCCGAGTGGAAACGCTCGCTGAGCTGGAGACGAGAAGCGCGGATCCAAGGGATCAAAACATCAGGGACCTCACCCTTGGTGCGCAAGGGGAAGACCGTGGTGTAGCGCGAGTAGTCGTCAACAACGATCAGGAAGTACCTCTCCTGACCCTGGCCACGGACGCGGGCTGGGCCCCACACGTCCATGTGGAGTGTCTGCAAGGGAGCAGTCGTCGGGGGAAACGAGGAGGAGTGAGGAGCGGCGCGCTGCCGCCCCTCGACACAGGGAAGACAGGGAGGAGCAGGCGAGGGTGGGAGGGGAGGGAGAACCCTGGGAAGACCAGAGACAAGGTACCGTTTGTGCATGGCACGAAGGCGCTGCACTGACGGGTGACCAAGGCGGTGGTGCCAGAGGACGGTCTCGTGCGCCAGTGAGCGACACGAGCAGGGGGCCGACAGCTGACCTGACGCAGACGCAGACGCAGCTACCTGAGGGGACTCAGTGGTCAGTGTGTACAGGTCCGACCCCGGCTGCCTAGTGAAGGTAGCCAGGTGACGGCCCGTCCGAGCACACGTGCAGTGTGTCACGCGTTCGTAGGCAGGGGTGAACTGGTGGACACCCCCGTCCTGGAGCGCACAACCCGCCACCAAGTTCGTAGAGAACGAGGGGAGGTGGAGACCTGACAGTGTGCCCGACGGGACCGCAGGACAGGGAAGGACAGTGGAGGAGGTCGCAATGACCGGACCCCCAGAGGGGTCAGCGAGGGAGACAGCAACTGGCCGAGCAAGCTGCTCAAGGGCAGTGCGGTCACGAAAGAAACAGCGAGAAGCACCTGAGTCCAGTGTGAAGGTGTGCAGTGCCTCAGTCGACTCAGTACCAGGGGGCGCAGACTCACTAGCACCTAGAGCAGCAGCCTCACCAGCACCTGGGGTAGCAGACACGCGAGCACCTGGAGCGGCAGCCTCACCAGCACCTAGGGCAGCAGACGCACTAGCACCTAGAGCGGCAGCTTCACTGGTCCGAATGCCCGGGTCGGGCGGAACACGTAGGTACTGAGCACCCTCTCCACTAGTAGACAACACATACATGGCAGTGAGAATAGCATCAAAGTCTAGAGCATAGATATCAATGTTTTTCTTCATTAGATCAGCCCAGCGGGGCAGCTCAGTGGCAGCAGGGAACTGAGTGCGCCAAGCGTCGTCGAGGCGGGAGAAGCAGCGCTGCGTGGTGTGCGCCCTCCCACACGTCTGACCAGTGCGGTCACCAGTGCGGATGACGTACGTGCAGCTAAGGCCACCCCCCCCCCCCCCGTGCTGAGAGTACCACTCACGAAGCTCCTGGGGCGACGGAGTGTGCTGCTGGCTCTGGCCACTGCCAGCGCCTCCACGGCCACCACCGCCGCTGCCACCACCTCGACCACCGCCCCTGCCGCCGCCGCGTCCACCGCCACCCCCACCACCGCCCCCACCCCTACCGCCTCCTCCGCCGCTGCCTCCACCACCCCAACCGCTGCCACTAGCCCCTCCAGTCCCGCCACCGCCCCCACTGCCCCCACCACCGTCCCCACCACCGCCCCCACCGCCGCCACCGCCCCCACCACCGCCTCCCCCGCCGTCACCTCCACCTCCCTTGCCCCCTTTGCCCTTGCTGCTGCGGCGCCAGCTCGGAGCGGACGCAGTCCCGACCTGCTCAGTACCAACTAGGTCGACAGCAGCAGCAGAGGCGACAGAGGGGAGAAGGGGGGAAGGGGAACACCCCTCGAAGAACGGGGTGCGGGGGTCGCCACGAGAGGCAGCTACAGCGACTATGCTAGTCTCAGCTGCAAGCAGTTCCTTCTCGAGCAGGTCAACGGTGAGCTCAGTGGGGCAGCGAGCGAGGAAGTGGTCCCTGACTGCACGAAGAGAGTCAGGGAGACGGGTGACCAGGTGGTAGAGAGTGAGCCAGAGTGGGGGGGGGTGGGTGGCAAGAAACTCAGCGGGCATAGCGGCACGGAAGCGGGCCTCACTAGTGCGGAGGTGCGTGATGAGGTCAGCGACTGTGGAGAAAGCTGACAGGTCTGGGAACAGGTAGGGGAGCGAGAGACGGCCTAGCGCAGCAGAGGCAGGTGAGGAGTAGCGTGCAACTACAGCAGTGTACAGTGCCTGTGCAGTTTTGTGCTGGCCAAAGTGCTCGCGCTCATCTACCAGCAGGGAGTTGCGAATAGCGAAGCGAGCGTGGGCATCACGAGTCTGCCACTGTGAGCGGGCAGTACTGTCAGCAGTAGCAGCAAGGGCAGCAGCATGGCCTAGCGCGTGATCGTACAGTGAGATATCCTCCTTGGCAGTGAGCTGGAGGAATAGGTGCAAGTCATCGAGCCAGATCTCAAACTTCAGTGGGCGGCCCTCAGCATCAAAAGCTAGCACAGCAGGACTAGCCATAGTTGCAGTGGCAGTAGTAATAGTAACTGCAGTAGCAGTAGCAGTAGCAGTAGCAGTAGTAGTTGTAGCAGTAATAGTAGTAGCAGTAGTAGGAATAATAGGGCGGCACGGCTCTGCCTGGGCGGCGCGGCTCGGTTCGGGCGGCGCGGCTCGGTTCGGGCGGCGCGGCTCGGTTCGGGCGGCGCGGCTCGGTTCGGGCGGCGCGGTTCGGCTCGGGCCGGGCTACGGGGCAGTGCGCGACGGGGGGGGGCGTGCACACGGGCGGCTGTAGCGGGCGGGCCGTGGCCTTGCGTGGGCCTGACTAGCTCGCGGGCGGCCTAGAGGGCGACGGCGCGGCCTACAGGCGGGGCTGCCGGTCGCTAGCGGGCTACGCGCGGCCAGGAGGGCCCGTCGACGGACGGCTAGTGGGCGGCGCACGGCAGCGTGGGCGGCTAACGGGCGGCGCGCGCGCAGAAACGGCCGCGCGCGGGCTGCTAGGGGACGACGCACGCGAGAAAAAATGGCCGCGTGCGGCGCTAGTGAGCTGCGCACGGGCAGTAAAAGACAGCGAGGCGCACGAGGGCGCACTAGGAGAAAGGCGCTCGAGGGCGCTAGGACATGAAGGCGCTCGAGGGCGCTTCGAACGGAACGGTGGGCCCTAAGGTAAGCGATCCTAGGTCTAAACCTACGCTCTTAATACCATGTTAGAAAGAAGAAGTGTTGAACTAGAAAGAAGTGAGAGTACAAATATGAAACCCTAGAGTTGTGAACCCCCTATAGGCTAACCCACTATAGCCTACACAAATATAACAAGTATAATGTTTGACAGACACACCCCCATAGGCAAAGTGGGGGAGAACAAGAGGTCAAAAGTCCAATCAAGAAAAGCAAAGCAAGCTCAGGGTGGATCACGACGTCACCATGCATTCTGAGCACAAGCAAATGGCCACAAGGCCAGTTCACATGCAGAGTTATATAAAGGAGAACAAGCAGTACAGTGATCACAACCTACCAAGTGTAAGCATGCAGGTATAGAGATCACAGTACAAGCAAAGTCAAGAAGTGAGCAAGTGAGGCCAAGAAGGCACAAGGCCTAACACAGTACAGAAACGCTGATGATCACAAGGCTGAAGTGCCTTGGTGAAGATATCAGCAGTGTTGGCCCGAAAGGCCAAGTAAACAAGACGAAGCTGACCACGCTGCTGCAACTCTCGAGCAAGAAAGTAGCGCAGAGCGATGTGCTTCGTTCTGTGCTCCGGTCTCTGCTCGCGACACAAGGCAAGCATTGCCTTGTTGTCGACGTACAGGACTGGAGGAGAACGAGGCGCCTCGCCCAGGTCGGTCAGCAGGTAGGTGAGCCAGCGTAGCTCCTGTGCAGCCATGGCCCCTGCGTAGATCTCAGCCTCACAGCTGGAGCTGAGAACAGAAGACGAGCGGGTAGACCACCACGAAACAGAACCGGAGCCAAGGCTGAAGGTGTAACACTGTGACGACCGCTGCGTGACCAGTGAGGACAACTGGACCCCGTCCTCCAAGTACGAGCCCCATGACTGACGTACTGCACAAGTAGCGCAACACCCTCTTAGCAGCATCCATGTGCTCCTTCCGGTGTCTCCCAGGAGCAACATAGCGTGCCAGGATGCTAAGAGGGTATGCCAGGTCAGGTCGAGTGCAGGTCATCAGGTACATGAGGCAGCCCACAAGCTCTGGATACGGGCCACTCGGCTCTACGGAATCATCCGAAGGCAGAGCTGAGAGCGAGTGGCGAGTAGGCAGAGGAGTGGACTGTGGCGAGGAGTACGTGAAGCCGAAGCGCTGAAGGACCTGGTGCACCATGTGTGACTGAGTCAAGGTAATGGTGCGCTGTGCTCTGTCTCGGGTGATCTGCAAGCCAAGATAGTTTCGCAGCTCACCCAGGTCTGTGCACGTGTGTCTCTTCTGCAGCTCTGACTTCACGTGGGCGAGTCCCTGAGTGTCAGCAGTAGCAAAAACCAAGTCGTCAACGTACACGAGGACGTAGAACGGCGGTAGAGAGGTGTCGGTGCGTAGAAACAGCGACGGGTCAGCAGTAGAAGGAGCAAACCCAAGAGCCGCAAGAGTCGTCCTCAGTGTGTCGTGCCACTCTCGGGGCGCCTGGCGGAGATCGTAGACTGGCCGCCGGAGGCTCCACTGGGTACTAGGAGGAAACGACCCAGTGAAGCCAGGTGGGCGGCGCAGCCAGATCTCCTCGTGCAGGCTGCCCTGTAGGAAGGCTGTGCTGAAGTCAAGAGAGTGAAGCTCGTAGTCACGCTGAGCAGCAACATGCAGCAGTACCCGAAGAGTGGTCATCTTCGGGGTAGGGGAGAAGGTCTGGAAGAAGTCAACTCCCTGTTGCTAACTAAAGCCCCGTGCAACGTAACGTGCCTTCAAGACAGGCGGAGAACCCGGCGGCCGCTTCACCCTGAAAATCCACATGCCACTGACGATGTTCGCCCCAGGTGGGGGAACCTCGTCGACGTAGGTGCCTGTGGACTTCCAGGAAGCCATCTCTACGTCCATGGCTGTCTGCTATTGAGAGGAGTAGGGACCCTCTATCGCCTCTGCGTAAGAGCGCGGGGTCGGGATGTCTGGTGCATCCGGGTCTCCCTCAGGGGCAAGCAGCATGGACACGAGATGAGGTAAAGCAGCGGCAAAGCACTCAAACTCCTCCTGTCTGTCCTCAAGGACGTCCATGCCCAGAGCACACGCACCCCGGACGGACGGAGGACAGATAGACTCAGACTCAGCAACAAGGCTAGCGGCGTATTCTAGACGTCAGGCGGCAGCAAAGTCAACAAGCTCAGCAACTAGGGCAGACGCAGCAGAGGACTCAAACGAAGGGTCAGTGACAACAGTAGCTAGAAGACGCGTGACAGTAGGACTGGCAGCACAAGCAAGGTCTGACGGCGGGTCAGGGATGCCAGGAAGAGAGGACGCAGGAGGAGACGGCAGAGGGACACGCTGTGGAGCAGTGGAAGGACGAAGTGCCATCTGGTGTGTGCCTGGGACAGCAGGAGGACGCTGACGCGGAACACGACGACCAGTGCGGACCGCGCAAACAGGCGACGCAGGACGAGACTCAAGCGACGCAGGACGAGACGCAGGCTCACGACGCTCCGTAAGACCTCTAGTCGGCCTAGAGTAAGGAGGAGGACCAGGCAGTGGAGAGGCTGGATGTAGCTACGACTGCGACGGGGCAGGCTGTGGACACAGTAAGGGAAGTGTGGGACCAGTAGAAGGCGGGAGACCAAGAACCTGCTGAAGAAGTGGAACGAAGTACGGTCGAGGCCGCGCAGCGCCTCCAGAACGAGCAGAGACAGCACCAGTACCCCCAGCTCCAGGGTCTCCAGTTCCAACTCCCACAGCACCTCCAGCTCCAGCACCTCCAGCAGCTCCAGCTCCAGCAGCAATAGCCCCAGCGCCGCCAGCTCCAACTCCCGCAGCACCACCAGCTTTAGCACCTCCAGCAGCTCCAGCTCCAGCAGCACCTCCAGCAGCAACAGCTCCAGCGCCGCCAGCTCCAACTCCTGCAGCACCACCAGCTCCAGTAGCTCCAGTACCTCCAGTACGAGCACCTCCGGCAGCTCCAGCACCAGCAGGACCTCCAGCAGCTCCAGCTCCAGCAGTACCTCCAGCTCCAGTAGCTCCAGTAGCACCAGCTCCAGGGGCTCCGGCGGCAGGCCCCCCAGCTCCAGCAGCTCCTTGCTGGATTCTCCAGCGGCGAGCAGACCACTCGCGCAGCTGCGGTGGAGAGAGTGGCTCTGGCCGAGACGAGGCACCTGCAAGAACTCTAGCAGACTCAGCACCCCCAGTCTCAGCAACCGCAGGCTCAGTACCCTCAGGCTCAGCACCCCCAGGCTCAGCACCCCCAGGCTCAGCACCCTAAGACTCAGCACCCCCAGGCTCCGCACCCTCAGACTCAGCAACCCCAGGCTCAGCACCCCCAGACTCCACACGCTCAGGCCCAGCACCCCCAGGCTCCGCACGCTCAGGCTCAGCACCCCCAGGCTCCGCACGCTCATGCACAGCACCTCCAGCAGCACCAGAGTCAACCGCTACCTCGACAGGCTCGACAGCGTCTACCTGAGACACACCTGAGGGAGCAGGACCCTGAGGGGGGAGGGGGTCTACCGGAGGAGGACCTGGTTCAAGGAAGAGCGACGGGGGGGGGGAGAGAGGCAGTGCGGTAGGGGAAGAGACGGTGAAAGGGAACCGACTCGTCGAACGTGACTTCCTGAGAGGGCAGGACACGGCGCGAAGTGGGGTGGTAAAACTGCCAGCCAGGCGCGTCAGGGACAAAGCCAAGGAAGACGCAGGGAATAGCGCGGGCGGAGAGCTTGTCCGCGGTAGTATCGCGGACAAAGGCACGAGAACCCCAGACCCGGAACACCGACGCATCGCCAACCTTCCCCGTCCACCGCATGGTGGGCGAGGTCTCCGGCAAGGAGACACGGGGCCAGAGGTTGAGCTGATGTGCAGCGTATCGGACCGCAAACGGCCACAGAAAATGGGGGGCAGCCGCATGGACCATGGAGGTACGAGCGACCTCCATGACTAAGCCAATGCGGCACTCAGCAACCCCATTCTGTTGCGGTGAGGCCGGGAGCGTGAACGTCTGGCGAATGCCCTCCCCACGACAAAAGTCCTGCAGAAAATCAGAGGCAAACTCACCACCTCTGTCAGAGTGCAGACGCAAGATGGGAAAGTCCGTCTCGAACCGCTTGCGGAGCTGGAGACGGGCAGCGCGGATCCAAGGGATCAAAACATCAGGGACCTCACCCTTGGTGCGCAAGGGGAAGACCGTGGTGTAACGCGTGTAGTCGTCAACGACCAGCAAAATGTACCGCTTGCGGTCCTGTCCACGGTCGCGGGCTGTGCCCCACACGTCCATGTGTAGGGTCTGCAGGGGAGCAGTCGTCGGGGGGAATGAGGAGGAGTGAGGAGCGGTGCGCTGCCGCCCCTCGACACAGGGAAGGCAGGGAGGGGCAGGCGAGGGTGGGAGA